GATGTGAACAAAGCATTTTCAAAGGTGGACCCACAGGTGTAGGTGATGTTTGCTGAATGCCACAAAAAGGCAGAAATCTAGCTCACAGTTCAACTAGCCAAAAATCTGGATAGGCGACACAGGTCACTGCAAGAGCTCAGGGATTTAACAGTCGCAGTTAAGGCCTCTTTTTGTTTAATAAACAACAATTTGCTACTGTAATTAGAAAAAAGATCTAGTGGATGCTAGTAGATCTCTGTACTACTTTGCTAGATATTAATTTTAAATCACTCTTTAGATTGGCTAGACCATATTCAGGTATAATTAGAGGCATACTTCACTGATAGAAACCTGCAGAAGCATCTTGAAGTGCTCCCAAGGACTTCAGTATCTCTCAGTGAAGTATCTTAAGCTGGCAAAGGTATAAATACTGTTCTGACTGGACTCTACACAAGTATCCATGTCCTGGCATCAAATACGAAGCAAAAATTTTCTCTCCATCAAAGCAAGAAAATAGAGCCCTGTGCTTCTCTTTTTGATCTCTGTTGACATCCTCCTAATTTTTAAGATTATGCTATGTTCATTTTGGTTTTGAATTCCCTGTTCAGTGCATTTTAATTCTTTTCTAGCCAGTCATATGAGCAGTGCAGTAACTTTCCTCCTCCATTAGGAGAGGTAGAAACTTCAAAAAGAATACAGAAAGCACTTCAACAGACCTATGTGCATCAGTATATTCTAGTGTGGGCTCATTTTAAGGTGGTATTACAGTCTTCTCATGCTTCCCAGGGCATCCAGAAAAAGCACAAATAAAGTCATATTTGAATGTATGTGAATGTTAATAAGAGAGTTCAACTCATACCAACAACAAAGATACATGAGTAATAGTCCAAGTAACAAAGCAGATACAGAATTAATTAACATGGGGAAAAACAAGTTTCGATCCCATTAAAGAGAGCTGTCTAGGTGGCTACATGGGTTACGAAACTAGCACTAATGAAGATGAGACCACAAGGAGAAAAAGATTTTTCCCTAGACCTAAATGAAGCTGTAATACAAAATGAATTTGAGAACATTTCTCCTTCTTACTTCAAACTAACAGTAAAAATCACATTAGGAGATTAGTTGAAAAATTTATGCCTACAGCTTGTATGGGATACTGGGATGGAAAGGACTTCTTATGTATCTGCATATGGAAAAGTGAAGAGTCACTAACGTATCTTTGTGTGTCAGAGAAGTCTGGTAAATATCCTGTGCCTCCTTTCCAGTAACTCACCATTAGTCTCTGCAACATACTTGGAAACTCTGAAACATGTCACTCCTGGGATGGGAGCTGTTCTCTAGAGACAGTCTGTTGACAGAAACCACCAACTGTCATGGTACATTAAACAAATAGATTGGATTTCTCAATGAGAGAACAACAATCCTCAGAACAATCAAAATTAACAGTAGGAAAAAACTGTCCATTACTTAAAAAAAAAAAAAGTTAAATAAAAAAGTGCCAAACACTGAACAAGACACAGGTCCCTGTAAAAGCAGAGCAATACCTTTTAAGGACAAACATCACTGTGTAAAACCTCTGAGTTGGCTCATGACTGACAGAAGTAGCACCTGATCGTCACAGGTACTCCATATCTAGTGGGGTTTTGTTTTGGTTTATTTTTCATTATTACTGTTACAGACTGCACTGTGTAGTGGAGACACAATATGTCTGTCCCTTGATAGGACAGATATGATTTATGCAAACAGCTGAGGACACTCATGTACAGCAGCAGTCTGGGCAATACAAACACAGAGGACACGTCCATATGTAGGCATGCATTTGTGCTTGGACAAGTACAGAAACAGTTCACAGCTACTATACAAGGACAGAAACCTTTGGCTCAGGAAATTTTTTTTCCTCCATTTCTGAGAGAAGAAGGAATCAATATAAGAAATCTCAAGTCAAAATTACCAAATTTGACACCATCTTGAGTTAAGACACAGATGAGAGATGTCTTAACAACCAGTATTTCTGGATATTCCCAAAAACTAAGTGGTCCTTCTGAACCCTCAGAAGAATAGTTCCAGCTGGCAGATGTCCATGTACATAAAGGAATTCATCCTACAGGAGAAGGAAAGGGGTTAACATGAGCCATGGAAGACTCCAGTGCTTTGGGGAGGAGGAAATATACATGTTCCAATAAGCCTTTTCTTCCCCTACAGAACTACAGAAGAGGCCAAGGTTTCATTAAAACCCCAGCTGGAAATGGCAATTCAGCACCACCTGCCCCAGCCCTGACTGACCTGCCCAGCCTCAGCTGCTGCCTCCACAGCCTATTCTGCACCAGGAGCCCCAGTGAAGCTCAGGCTTCTGTTCCCAGACCTGGCTTGAGCTTCAATAGCATGCCTGCCTCCGGTCCTGCACTCATCTCCTCAGACCTGCGTTATTTGGACTCTTCAGACCCAGGCTGTGGGTGATTCATCACCCAGGCACACGGTGTGACTCTTAGGGCTGTCCTGTGCAGGGTGAAGAGTTGGACTCTATGATCCTTGTGGGTCCCCTCCAACGCAGGATATTCTGTGATTAAGGAATTTTCCATGTCTGGGGCTGCTCATGGTTCCTACTTCCAGCCCCCAGTTTCACCACACTGCTCGGGCCCCGTGGCACCAGATGTCCTGCTGGAGTGGGCACTGCCTGTGCTGGTGGCACCCTCACGTCCCTTCTCAGCCTCCCTCATGGAGAAGCCCTGCTCATGCTGCTCCCAAGTGCTATCATTTAACAGTATCAGACAAACATATTTCAAAAGAGGAAACCACTATTTTTATTGAAGTATTTTTTTACTATTTTAAAACCACCTAGTCTGATCTAAATTCACCCCTTAATAAAGATCACCAAAAAATACCAAAAAATAATCTTCAAAGTTTCTCCTGTCTCTACACAGAGAAAACTCAGTGGTCCAATGTGGTGTTGGTACTAAAAATTGACATAACCAGACTACTAAGGCAAAGCTGATAAAATTAACACAGTCAAATCACAGTGACTAATACAGTCTGTGTCTTGTTCTTGGTTCATTACATTTTTATATTTTCAGAAACTGCTGCGGAATTCTGCCTTTTAAAGCTATGCTTTGTTTTTCAAACCCACACCAACACACAAAAAAGTCACCTACAATACACAGCTGGAGAGGCTGGGAAGGGGGAACGGGAAAAGAAAGACAGGAAAACCCAAGCATCTGTATTTCAAGAGAGGAAAGCAGGCAATATAACACAGATTGAAATAGTAGTTAATTTAGATGCCTCATACAACTAATTTGTTTGTTTGAGGCTTTAAGAATGCTTTGGCTTTATCAAGTCATATTTGACTTTCTTCTCCATGAAACAGATATGCTTTTTGTGGTTTCCAGTATTTTTTAATATTGTCTTATGGTAGCAAGTAGGTATTTAATTGACCTGAGAACAGCAAGAACTACTATACAATGTAATTTTTCTTTGTAAACTATCAGGTTCTAAAGGAAAGGGTTTCTAAGAGTAACTTCTTAGGAGATGTTAACAGTCAGCAGTTTGATCCATTTGGGAAGTAATTGTTTTTTCAAACAGTAAAAAAAAAAGTCTGTTTAAAATATATGAAAAAAAATGTTTCAAATGGTTGCTATGCTCATCAGTCACCTAATGCTAAATGTATATACCCTACAGTACCCTTGTATTAACCTCTGTAATTAAACTAGTAATAATCTGATATTTGAAATAATAGTATTTCTAATTTTCCTCTTAAATTCATTACTGTACATCAAAAGACATGAACAAGACCGTAGCTCAATTAGCTTGCAATCTTGACAACATTTACAACCAGAAAGATAACGTTACACTGTGATAAATATTAATGGAAAAGGAAAATTTTTACCATCTGAAAGTCAGACACAGCAAATGTAACAAATAGTTTTAATCATGAGAAGGATTTTGATGGGCAGAAACGAAATGTTCACTGGAAAGAAAATAATGTAAAGAATTTAGAACGTTCGAAGTAACTACACTGAAGAGCTTCTATCCAGGCTTCAAAACCAATCCACGAACAAAAATGCAGTTTAAAAAGGTTTTATAATTTAGAAATATGACATATATTTACCAGGAGTCAGAGGAAGAAAAAGTAATCACACTAAACCTTGAACTGGTATTCTGACCTAAACATCACACTAGGTTGCGCAGCTATTCTGAAGGCCACATTACTAAAAGACAAGGAAGTAAGAAAGAAGATATTATCAAAACTCCTCTGTGAAATGTTTATTAATGTGCTGAGATACACCACTTTTTTTTCTTTTTTCATTCTGGGCAGTAAGTTCACACCTACCTGGGATATCCAGAGCAATGAATTTTAAATTCAACCACCAGGGAAATTACTACATAAGCTGGAGAAGATGGGAAAATCAGAAGAGGACTTGTGTGATTTTTGTAGTTGCTGCTATGTTTCTTTTTTTTTTAATAAATTAACAAAATTGAAGGATACCAACTGGCTTTGATAAAAGGAAAGCAGCAAGAGAAAGAAGATTAAAATAGATTTCCTCAAAGTACAAGTACAGGACAGAAAAATGCTTGTAGTCTTGTGGGAAATGGGCATCCAGAGTTGATTGACAGGAGAGAGTAGCTTGTTCAAACAAATATAAGAATGAAATATATACATGGTGACTCCTTATAAACAGGTTAGAGGAGCAAGACAGAAGTAACTATATCTAATCTAGCCATTAATACATCTGGGCTGACAATAACATCAGACAGATCTTAATGAGTTGCTAAAAATATTCTGGAACTACCATCTTACAAATCAAAAAATCACTGAGGGGGAAAAAAAACTATAAATGCTCTTTTTGTAACCAAATAAGCAGGTATTTATTTTCCAAAATGAATGCAATTTAACATCCTAAACTATTTAAAAGTGGTCATCCTGCCTCCTTCTGTGTAGCTTATGAGTAGTACACTAGACCTGCAGAAAGACATAAAAGGAATTCTTCTGCTTTACTGAATGTTTTGTAAGTTTGGAAGATTCTTACCCTGTATTGATGGAAATTATTTCTATAAGTGGATTCTTCCTAATCTTTGGCAAATCCAGTCGTGCTCCCCCCAAACGTTTTCCATTATCCTTTTTCTGACCCAGCAGCCTCACAGAATGACCTTCAAATTAAACAAAAAAAAATGCAGTCATTACAAAGAACAAGTCTCATCATAGTTGTTTTGATTTGCTCTTCTTCAGAAGTAGTGTTTATATTTCAAAGATTGAAAATGAAAATGAGATGTAATAATATATTTCCATCATCTGGAGCATTTATAAAGAGACACTGACAGGTAAAATAAATCATCTTAAAATGAGCAAGTTATTTCATCCAATTATCTTTTCACACTTATACTTCCTGTTTTATATGATTAAAATTATCTAAGCAGTCTCATTTTCAGATTCTCTAGCAAATAGCAACATAGCAATAATATTTAAATCAGTTGCATGGCAGGATCAAATTATTGTTCCAAAAATTTAATTCAAACCTAAATTATGAGGTAATAAACAACTAAATACCTTTTTAGCTTATTATATGGAGAACCAACACATTTCAAGGTTACCAGACTGAGTAAGTCTAAAAGTGCTGGGAAGCATATCCTCACATGTCTGTGGCTACCATGATTTACATATATTCCTCCCACACCAGGACAAGCGCAGGTCAGAAAACTGCCTCACAACTACTTTCCTGGAGCCATTAATATTCAGGGACTAAAATATAAATGATTTCACTAACTGCCTACAACATCAGTCATGCCACAACAAGCCCTATATTTAAAGAGCACAAATGATAGGGCTCACTGATATTTTGAAGCAAGAATGAACAATGAAGAATCAAAACAATTGTGTGTATTATTGCATAAGGTAGTCTAAAGTGTTCCCAAGTTATAAATGAAAGACTTGTATCATTTACTTCACAAAGCCTAGAACAGGCAGATGAGAGATGGCAAGTGAAAGCTAATAGTAGATACTTGAATAGAGTTGGAAAACAACAACTCAAACTGGCAGGAAAGAAAGCATGTGTCTGTTGAACTTGGAAAACTCCCTGACAGTAAACTCTACAGCTTCAGTCCATCCAATATTTCAGGAAAGAAAAAGCTAACCCTGAAACGGGAAAAGGGAGTGGGGGGGGGGGGGGGGGGGGGAAGAAGAATGCATGAAACTATAAAGTACGAGTTGAGCACAGCAAAGCTTATGACCATTTCAAAATAATTAAAAGCTGTGTTACATCAAAGCTCCTAACCTATGTTACCAACACCTATTTACAAAATTAATTCCTTCATCAGTCAAAGCCTTTCTTCACTGCCTGTTCTGAGGGGTCATAAATTAGTTTTTGAGTAATGTGGCATTCATGCTCTTAATTTATTTCCTTGATATGGCAACAACAGCCTGGAAAAAAACCAACTACTTCTAGAATAACATTTTCCTCAAGTTTTTTAAAGATACATAAAAATTCTAAATCAAAAATGTGATCTAATGAACAAGTGAGCAGGATTGACCAGATAACATAAAGTTTAATACCAATAGGAGACATAATGGTTAATACTGATAGAAGGCATCATAATGTCGACAGAAAAAAAAAGGCATTGCTTCTGCAGTTGCAGTTGATAAAATTTCATTATATCCTGTGATGAAGTTAGTAATATGGTGCTTGTGCTACTAGCATTTGCTAAATAACTCACTTCTACATTTTCCTGAGAATAACAGCAATATCCTTGTCTCACAATACCATCAGTTATTTTCTAATCTAATGCTTCATTGAGGAGCTGCAAGCATGGCACCATTTTATTTACTTGTGCAACAAAAGAGAGTGGGTTAAACAGAAAACATTCCTTTTTTATTTCTTAATACTGTGGTTTATTTGGAATAAACCAGTTTATCCATTTTTAAATGTTCAGCTACATTGCCATACTAAAGGCATATTTGGCTTTATGGCTGAAAACACAGTGGAACGATACCCTGTAGTCTTAAAACAATTCGGTTTAACAAATTACCCAAAATTTAAAATTCACACACTAAGAATTGGGGTCAAACCACCATTCTTAAGTTTAAAAAACAAGATGAAAAAAACAAACCACAAACCCAACCTTCCCCCTCCCCGAGTAATATCTTAGTATGCAGAATCAGGGAGGCCTCATCTCCTCAGAACACAGACCCTCACAAGGAGAAGCCATGTGAATAACTGCTCTCTAACAGGAATTCAGCTCATGCTCTCCCTTTCTCATACTGAGAGCAGTCCTCAAACAGGCAATCACCCCCAAAAACACGCCACAAGATGAGGCCATTCTACAGATAGAATATATGGGGAGAATAAGACTGAGCTGCTTCTATCATCAGAGACTTCCTTTATTCAGGAAAGAAACCTCAGCTCTGTGACATCTCCCACATGATCCACTGAATGTTAACACCCATCGCCAACCCTGACCCTGAGCTCAGGAAATCTATGGCCTGACAATCAAAAACGGCAGCTTATTCTCACATAAAATACAATTCCCATATTCCTCCTGCACGACACTGAAGTTAGAATTAAAATGAGGCTTGTAAGAGCCGTGGGGTACTCAAGAATAACAACATGCCTGTACTTTTCAGTCCAGACACCAGAGGCTAAAAAAATGCCTCCAGTGGGAGACGATTTTTAGCAGAGTTTAATGCTTCCAGAAGACAAGCAGCACACACACATCCAACTACTGTGACTTGTGTGGCAGGCACACTTAATTATTTTTCTTACAAAGAAAACCCCCTCAATTACAGTATTTGTGACCTTAAATCCTTTTTCCTCTACTCTATACAAGGACTATTTTGTTCCATTTTAAGTAATCACTAAAGCATCTGTTTACAGAATTGTTACTATTAATAAAACATAACCTGATAAACACTGAATCACACTTTTTCATATGCTGTAAATCTTTTTTTCCTCATAGTTATTTCAAGAAAACTGACAAATAAATACTTTGCCATCTTCAACTAGGAAACGGCTAAATAACTTTTTTTAGATTGTCTAACTAGCACTATTAATCCCAGATCAACATCAAGTTTAACCAAAAAAGTAGTAATTTTAAATCTCATTCATGACCTCCTTTCAAAGCTTAGAATGGGACAAAACACTGCAATTAAGCTTTACTTCTAAAGCATTTTATCTGATTAAGTCACCCTCTCTCTGATTTTACAGGTTTCATAACTTACCTAAGCAAAGCAGGTGTCCCAAACTTAAAAGGAGTCTTTCTTTTCATGTTTGTTTTATTTCCTTTTTTTTTTTTTTAAGTTTTGTACAACATTTTTGAAAACTGAGTTAATCACAAGTCTGTTAACCGTAATGATGAGTGCTCCATCTCAGATATCAAGCAAACACACCACTCCTTTTTTGAAGGCTCACTCTACAATACAAGCCTTGAAACACAGCTTAAAGACAAACAGATCTAGTCAGGTTAGATAGGAAAGCCTAAATAATCTAGACCTATTAACTGTTTCTCCTATAAAAATAACTTTTCTACTTCCACACAGTCTAGCAATAGGTAAAATTTCATTAAGCAAAAACAAAACCTCAAAAAGTTAATTGGTGGTTTAGGTCATGTATCAGAGCAGTTTTTCACTAATTAGTAGATAATTAATACAGATTACAGCATAACAGAATTACTAACCAAGTCCAGCAAGGACACTTGCAGAGCAGAATCACTCACAGCAAATGCAAATTAAATCAAGCTAGGAACAATTTAAAATGAACAAGAGCTCTCTAGTTTTCAGAACTGTTTAATATTAAACTCATCTTTATACAGAAGGCAGTAGATGCAATTCACGTTACTTGGCACTATCTGGGAGAAGGATGAGGTTGGAATAAATTAATAAGGATATTAAATCCTATTGTTAGTTTAAAAGAGGGCATTTAAATGTGTCTGCTTTGATCATTCAGTATGCAAAATGAAAATATTTTCAAGGTATTTGTTTTCACTTGTTAAAAATGACACAAAGAAGTAGCACAGTTTTAATGGCATGTACATATACCTCTCATAATAAATGTATGTGCTTCAGGATTGATGGAGAAGGCCCAGTCTTGAAATACAAATATATGAAGTGAACAGGTAATGGAATTTCTTTGTCATAACATTGAAGCATTAAATGTCCTGTGAACCTCAGGTTAACATCATATTCCTGTGGCCTAGAACCACAGAGCATGCTAATGATATTAGAGCAAATAGATTCAAATGGGACTGGTACCTTCCTAGTTTATTACAAGTATAAGTCAGGGGGAAGTAGCCTGGCTAAGTAAATTTTAGTAAACTTTACCTGGCTATCAGCATCCTATCAGACACTAGATCTATATTAACTATATTATATTAGCTTTCAAGTTCAGTGCAGATATGTCAAGCAGCTCAAAACCACAATTTTACAGAAAATCCTCAAAGATGCAGGAAACCCCAGCCTTGGCAGCAACAATTTCTATTGTCTTCTGTTTATTCTGTTACCCACTCTTTCCTTTTCCCAGTTACATCACTATGCTTAGAGGTTATTCACCATTTCCTGAAAGACTCTTTTTTTTTTTTTTCCTCAGCACAGTTGCCAATGCACTGTTCTGTACTTCTCAGATGTCTCTTACCAACCTGTCTGATTTTCTCCAGCATCAAGGAACAGGATTAAGCACTATTTTGTGTACTCTTGCACACATTCCCTTCCACCACTGTTTGGTTCTTAAGGAATTTAGAGTTTTCCTTCCTCAAGGTTAGCACTGGAAAAAATAGCACATAGGAGTAGTGTAGCTAAGGAAAGGAAGGTAGAAGCATATGAAGGAAAAAGAAAGTAATGCATTTCTTCAAAGAAAAATTAAAGGAAGAAGTGTAAAGAAACAATAGCAGTAATAAAGAGTGAAAGAAGCATCAAGAATGGGCAGATCATAAGTTCCTCTCCCATCTTTTCTCCCTGCCCTGCAGCACAAACATACTGTCCCACAGCAGACATGACTGATTTCAAAGGAATTCCCAAGCTCCCCAGAGCAATCACATGCTGTGAAACACACACAAGTGCAAAAACAAGGACACTAAGTGGTTTAGGACTCTGCTGTGTGGAAGCTCCCATCCAAACCAACCCCAGCTGGCCACCAGTACATTGGCATCCCTGAATGTCATCAGTG